GTGGAATTTATTTATTAATTTTTACCTGAGATGGGGAGATGGGGGAATAATCGTAAGTCGACACGTGTACCCGCACGCACACACAACATCGCTCATCCCATTCGAAAATTCATTTATATTATTATTATTATTATTATTTTATCCAGGTTCGCATATTGTCTTTAAAATTACTAGTTTTATACATATTATTATTATTATTCACCTTCGATATTATCTTTTCTTATCATGCTATCTTTTAATGCTACTAAAAAACATTCCAGATGTTTTTTTTGTTTTAATGATGAACATTCTGGAAAAAACAATTTTTTTGCACTGGGGATCCGGTTGAAATTTTCATCGCGACGAGTTATAATAATAATAATAATAATTTAAACACGGTCGTAAAAAAAAAAATCGATTAATCGAACGATGGGGCGGGAAGGAAATCAATAAAAAAAATTCGAAGGAGATATTCAAACGTGGAAATTAATTATGTGCCGTTTTAAAGGGAATCGGTGTTTAATGGCGGCGGTTAAGGGTAGCAAAGGGGGTGGAAAGGGGATGAAATATTTACTGTAAATATTATAAGAAGATTTTTTCAAAACAATTCAGATCAGCTAAAAAAAAAAATGAAAAAATGAAAATTCCACTTTCACGCGGTCTAAAATTTTCATAACCATAATGATAATAATGGTGATGATGGTGATGATGATGATGATGATAATAATGATAATAATAATGATAATGTCGCGGTGTGGGTTCGTTAATAATTATCATAAGGGATTTTATCAAGGATTTAAACGTGTAATACGTAGTATGTTGTCGACACTATATGATATTTCACGATATTAAACGACTAACAAGAGTCTGACGTCATCATTTAAAAAACCAAAAGTAAATTAATAATGATAATGATAATGATAATAACAAAAAATTTTATTTTATTTTTTGCGCGAATGTCACGTAGGCGTGAAAAGCGAAGAATTTTTTTTTTTTTTTTTTTGAATATCATCGGAATTTAATTTTTTTTTTTTAAATGATGTTTAAGTGATGATAATGATAATATTAGTAATAAAAGAAACGAGCAATGAAATGCGGAACTTTTATAATGATTAAATATTTTTTTTTTTAAATGTGGGATGTAAAAACAAAAATGATAGCGATCGTCATCGTGGGAGTATTGAATTGAAAAGAAAAAACCGCACAAAGATATTATGTATGGCTCAAGGGTAATTCAAAATATAAGAAGAAGAAGATTTTGGACAAGTGAAAAGAATGGAAAAATCGGGAAAAGTGTGGGAGGACGATCAAAAATAATTTTTGAAACGTAAAAAGTGTGAATAGAAATGATCGCAACAAAAACTTTACAGAAAATTTTTTGTATAAAAAAGTTATCGTGTCTTAAAGTCATAATAATAATAATAATAAAGAAGGTTAAGGGCGTTAAGGTGAATGCAGACAAACACACATAGAGACGTACAAACGGATGTAACAAACGAAACCATTTTTCGTCAAATAATAATAATTTAAAAGTCTGAAACAGATTAAAAAAAAAAAAAAATTTACGATTTCGATTAACAATAACCAAAATGGCAGACACCAAACAAACAAAAATAAAAACAAACCTAAAGGATAAACAAACAAAATAAAAATAAAATTTTCTTTCTAGAATTTTCTATCGAGCTATAAAAAAAAAATTATTATTATTATTATTAATTCGTCATAATTGCCACCGAAAGCAAAAAAAAAAAAAAAAAATTTTCAGGTACGCGCGTGCGTTTGATTTTTACGGTTAAAAATTATTAAATAAGAAAACCATAAACATAAATTAAATTTTTTAAATTTGTTTCAATAACAAACAACAAACAAACAACACGGGGAGTCAAAAAAAAAAAGAAATTTTTTTTATAATCGATTCAATTATTATTATTATTTTATTTATATAAAAAAAAAAACGGCTTTAAAATTTGATTATGGTGTCGTCATCATCATCGTCATCATCGTCGTGGTTGTCGTTGTGGTTGTCGTAAAATTAAACAACTCGATTAAATAATCGTTTGTTAAGGTTCGATATCGAAACACGGGTGTCGATTGTCGATTATGTTTTTTCATTATGTTTAAATCTTTAATTTAACAATAAGAACTCTTGTTTTAGGTTTGTTATTAGGCCGACGGCAGGTGTTTGATACCCTAGTCTAACCATTTGGTCAAATTCATCACTCGAGGGCACATTTAAATCTTTTACATATTTACTCTCTCTCTCTCTCTCTCTTTCTCTCTCTCTCTCTAAATGGTTTTTAGAGAGAGAAAGAAAGTGAAAAAAAGGTTTAGTATCCTTTTTTAACATCTTTTAAATCCGTTCGTAAATTTTTTCTTGTATTTATGTGATGATAACACGAAAATCTTTTATCCCCATCCTTATCCCACACTCCTCCCCGGGGAGAAATTGTTTATTCCCGTTTTGTTTGGTTGTTGTTGTTGACGTAAACGTCGTATGGGTCATTTACAGTTTCGAAATATGAACTGAAAGAAAATTATTATTTGGTTAGGAAAGAGGGAAGAAGTAAAAGAAAAAAAAAATTCATTTTACTAATGGATTCACGACCCCTCAATTCCTGACAGAAACAGATGAAAGAGTAGGAGGAGGAGGAGGAAGAGGAAGAGTATAAAAAAAGGAGATAAATTCTGGATAATCGCATGATAGACACGAACACGAGGATAAACTCGTAAAAAACAAAAAAAAAAACTTTTAGTCATTACAAAAACCATAAAAAAAAAAAAAAAATTTGAACTCGAAAATTTTTTTTATACACGCCAACACTAAAAAAATTATTTTTAATTTCTCTCTCTCTCTCTCTCTCTCTTACACGGTATCGATTTTTTTAAATTTTCATTCATTCATTCATTCAATCAATCAATCGTTTGTTATTTCGTGCATTTTTTATATAAAAAACAACGTGCGTTACGATATATAAAAAAAAACGACGACGACAAACCTGATTTTAAAAGAGGAGAAAAAGAAGAAGAAGAAAAAGGGAGAGTGGGGGCGAGGGAAGAGGGAAGAGGGGGGGGGGGAAATCAATCATGAAAGAGTGAAAAAATATAATTTATCATTAGAAACATAATTACTTCTAGAAATTTCTCATGAATCCATATTTATATATACTTTTAAAATTCCAAATTATTTTATTAACGTTTTCTACTTCATAATATAATCATAGAGAAGAACCCTCAACCATATAATACGTTTGTAAATTAAAAAAAAAAAAAAAAATTCATACCACGAAATAACCAGTTGGTTTAATGATAATGATGATGATGATGATGATGGTAATGATAAGGATGAAGAAGCAGAAGACGACGATGGCGATGATGATGATAATTAAATTTTTCATACGTAAACAAATAAAAAATTAATTTTTTTTTTTGTTAATAAAAAAAAAGAATATTCTAGAAAAAAAATTTTTTTTTTAAACGTAATTAATTACTCGGTAATAAAAAAAATTTACATCACGTGGTACCCTGTGACGTTCGAGAGAGAGAGACAGAGAGAGAGAGAGAAAATTATTTTATTACCGAGAAGTGTAAACAATATAATAAAACGATTATAAACGATAAATCGAATCCAATTTAAAATTATTAATAATAATAATAATAGCGAATATGGAGATGATGACGATGATGATGATGATGATGATAAGAACGATAATGATTATAATAATAATAAGTTTACATGGCAAGAAATGAAAAAAAATTTTTTTTAATCGAAACAACATGGAATTAAAAATATGAAAAACAACCCAAAACAAACAACAACACATATATAAGGGGAAAATAACTGGATATTGTTTGTTGTATCGTTAAAAAACAAACAAACAAACAACTAACTAGCTACAATTGTAAATTATTATTTTCTTTTACTTTTTTTTTTACTTACAAGTTGTAATTATAAAAATAACTGAAAATGGCGAAGGACTTTGAAGAGAGAGAGAGGGGGGGGAAGAGGGGGAGAGAAGGGGAGAGAGACAGAGAGAAAAAGATAAAGATAAAAATCAATCAATTACATCCCGAGGGAAAAATTATCAATAATTTTTAAATCATACTTTTTTTTTTAAAGTTATTTACTTAAATCAATTTTAAAAATCGTAATAATAATAATAATAATAATAATAATAACGATTTAAAAGAGATTACGTTTCACGTATGTAAGTAAGTAAATAATAATAATAATAATAATTCGCCATTTTATTACTTTGCTAAAAAAAAAAAAAAAGGTAAAAATGTTGTTTTAATTATAATTATTAAATAATTGTTGTTTGTCTATATTATAAGAGACTTAACCTTAGACTACTAGCATTAAAAAAAATGAAATTTTTGCGCTAAATTAATGAGAAAAAATTAACCGTAGAAAAAAAAAAATATAAACAACATATTTGCGACAAATATATGTATATAAACAGGCGCCACGACGTAAATTACTCTTTTTTTTTTTTAAATTAAATAAAATATTTAAATTTTGCGTCTGTAAAAATTCCAACGAAAACTCATTAAATAAAAAAAATGAAAAGTAGGATTGCCAACTTTTGAATTTAAAAAAAAAAAAAATTAATATTAGTCGCGCGTTTAACGATTTTTCCGATTATTTTAAATATAGGAAATGAAATTTTTTATTTTTCATTAATTGATTTTCATTAATAATTTATTGAAAATAATAATAATAATAATAAGGTAAAAATATAATACATTCATTCATTCCCACAGGTTTGCCAACGTGATAAATCACGATGGAAAAAAATATTTATGAGTTTTTAATGGCGATAAAAAGCGTTTTTTTTCGAATACGAAACAAAATAATAATAATAATAATTTACAAATTTAAAAGCTTTGATAATGATAATGATAATAATGATAATTGTTAATAAATGCGGAAAAGTTATTATTATTATTATTATATTGAAAAGAAAAGAAAAGCGAAAGATAAAAGGAGGTAAAAAGAAGGAGGGATTGTTGGTACTATTCATTTAAACGTCATCATCATGATCATCATTGTTTGATTTTGACGATTGGTTTTGTCCGGTGTTGTTGTTGTTATTTCCGGTTGATACGGCTATGCTTCTAAGACTTCTAGATCTTTCCAAATCGAAAAATGATGGATCCGTGTAAATAGGTTCGCTCGGATCGTCTAATCGTACGTCCGGAGGGGTGACCATAGCAAAATTATCATCGCAATTAAGAGGATTTTTTTTGAAAACCGGCGACTTCCGGTTGTTCGTTTCCTGTGCGAATATCGTATCGAACATTTTTTTCGTTAGAGTTCCCGCGGCGGTTTTGCCAAACGTGGTGCCATCTTTTAATTTTCTAGATAGTTTAAAACCGGAATCGTTCCAACCTTTTTTAAAATCCGAATCCGCGCGATTTTTCAAACCGAAAAGACTGTACGATAATTTTCCATCGGAATTTGGAAAACCGGAAAATGAACTGTGATAATCAGGTATGAGTTCGCCGGGTGATATACAATGGGACGACGGATTTTTATTTCTAAAATTTTGCGATGCGTTCATTAAAAATGAAAATGGCCGACGATCTAAACCCGTTCCTTTTCTTTGCTGTTGTTGTTGTCCGTTCGATGCGTTCGCTTCCGCATTTTTCGTACCCAACGCCCAATATTTCCTTTTATTATTTCCGGTTTAAAAAAATAAAAAAACAAAAAAAAATTCTTTTCTTCTTCTCATTTTCTTTTTTTTTTTTTTTTCTTTGTTAAAATTTGTCGTGTAAATAGAAAAAAAACTTACCTGTACGCTAGTCCTAATAAAACGGCAAATACCAAAAGTGCTGACAGAATGACGACAAGTGCGGATATCAAACCGTAATATTCTTCGTTAGCCATGCATATCGTGTGAGATTTTGTCGCCATAACTTCAGGAGCGGGTTCGTTACTTATGTCGTAACGGGAATCTAAAACCTGGAGAAAAATTTTTGTCGCCATCTTAATAAAACAATACTGGGGAGAAATAAATAGGGAGGTTCAATGACCTTAAAAACTTCTTTTATTTCACTGTTAAGTCACTGATAACTGCGGAAAATAAAAGAAAACGCGTCGCGAACGGTACATATATAATTAAAAAATAAATCAATCGATAATTAATGATCAATTAATCGATAATATAAATAAAAAAAGTATAAAATTGATTAATGAATTTTACTTAAAGAGAATCTTTTGAATTTTTAATTTAAAAAAAAATTTTTTTTTTTGGTTTCCGGTTTCGAGACTCGAGGGCAAAAAAATTAAAATAATTATAATTAAATAATAATAATGATAATGATGATGATGATGATGATATTTGCATAATTAAATAATTACCTTAATCATTTCCCTCACGAATTCTTCTTCTCCTTCTTCTTCTCCTCCTCCTGCTTCTTCTCCTTTTTCCCCATCTTTATCTTTTCCATCTTTGTCTTTTTTATTTTTAACATCTTTTATTTCGACAGGAATGCTGTTTATAGATTTGGCAGTGTTATTTAATTTTATTGGATGTTTCATTGTGACAACTTCTCCGATGGGTACTCGTATCGTTGTCGACGCCATTGATTTTTCCCTTTTTGATTTCGACGGAATCGAATGAGATTTTACTTCCGTCGTTGGGGATTTTGTCGATGACGTGTTCAACGGGAGGGATTGCGGGGGATCCGTCGATGACACGACGATTGTTTCAATAACTTCTCCCGTTTCGTTTATTTCTCTTTTACGCCTTCCGAAAGACGGTTCGCTTCTTCCTGTTTGTCCCGTGCAATATGCTGGTTGACAACCGTCTCTGCACGTTCTCACGGTTGCTTCGAAAACTAAGAAATTAGATTCCGGAATTTTAAATGCGTTAAAACGTGCTTCTAAACCGTCGCCGTCTCTCGAACGATCCAAACCTGGGAAAACGTAATTATCGACTGGACACCTGAAGAAAACACAAAAGAAAAAAATTTTTTTTCAAAATGGCGCTCAAGATTTTTTACGAAGGTTTTTAAATTTTTAGTTTTTTACCCGAATCTATCGATTAATTGAACGGATCTTCCGGAATAAGGATCTCTTGCAATGACGTTTGTGGCGAAAATATCAGTGGCGTAATTGTGACTATCTTGAGCTTCCAAACGGAACGTTAGTGGATCCCCGACTGCTATGGTAGTGGTCGGACGATTTTGGTACAATATCATGAGACGAACTCTTGAACTCAATGAATTTTCCGCCGGTAAATATTCTATTGGGATCGGACTTCCGGATCTGACCGTAAAATTTTCATTTTAAAAAGAATTTTTGAGTCTCGAGCCAAAAATTAATTAAACAAACTCACCCTGCTCCTATGTAACCGGAAGTTACAACTGCTTCCCCTGGCCCTCGAAAAAGACAAGTTAAATTATATCTTTTGTCTCTGCCGGTTTGTACAAAATCTGAAAATTGTACTACAACTATGTTGGTCATGGTGTCTCCGTATCTTTCTGTACCGCAATCAGGATAACCTTGAGCTCCGCTTATTCTTAAAACGTTTATGGTTCCTCCGTTTCCCCTGAAGAAGCAACGATCGTAGTATCCGTAAGTGTATATCCTACCGTAAAATCCTTCAGGCGTTCTCAATGCGAATTCCATTCCGTCTTCATTGCACTGTTGGCTCACTATGTGGAAGGAATCATTGTTAAGTTCTTTTGTTTCTTGTAAGAAGGAAGTAAAAAAAGTTTTTTATAGTTTCAAATACCTTCGAGACAATCTCCTTGTCTCTGCTTTCCTGGAGATCTTTCAAAATAATCGTATTCACCGCTAGTTTCAAAGTTAGCTGGACTGTTAATTTCTAATTCTCTTGAATCCTTGTCACTCAATTCGCAATTTTCTGGACTCGGAGGACTGTACTGAGGACTGTATGATCTAAAATTTTACAGAAGCGTACATACACTTGAAAAAAATTCGTTTAAAAATTTTTACTTCAAAGGTTTTGACTTAAAAATTTTTACCTGTAATTGAAAGATCTGCAAACAAAATCTCTAACATCGGCGCATTCACGTTCGCAAATGGATACGGATGGAGCGGACATAAACTTTCTGATGTAAGGTTTACGAATTCTTAAACGAACGCCCACTTGTCTAAAGCTATCTCCTTCGTCGCATCGAGACGAAAATTTATTTCCGAAAAAACTTTCTGGATTTCCTCCGAAGCCTCCGTAACCGCTTCCTGAGAAGCCAGGGTAGCCTTGGGGAAAACCAACACCGGAAAATCCTCCGCCGCTGCTACTGCCTCCGAAGAATCCTAAGAATTGCAATATTTTGTGTTATAGAAATATTTTGAGGCTAAGTCTTTTAAATTATACTTTAAACAATAAAAACAACCTCCAGGACCACCGGGACCTCCTGGTCCAAATGATCCGCTAGGGCCGTAAGGACCTCCAGGTCCACCCGGACCAAAAGAACCACTCGATCCTCCGGGGCCGTAAGATCCTCCTCCTGGTCCACCAGGTCCAAATGATCCACCAGGACCTCCAGGGCCATAAGGTCCATTAGGTCCTCCTGGGCCAAAAGGCCCACCCGATCCATAGGATCCACCGGGGCCACCCGAACCATAGGATCCACCTGGACCACCCGAACCATAGGGTCCACCTGGACCACCCGATCCATAGGATCCACCTGGACCACCCGGGCCGTAAGATCCACCCGGTCCTCCTGATCCGTAGGATCCTCCCGGTCCTCCTGAACCATAGGGTCCACCCGGTCCTCCTGGCCCAAAGTATCCATTTGACCCCCCTGAGCCGTAAGATGAACTTCCACCAAATTTTTCTCCTCCATACGCAATACTGAATGAATTAGTGTTACTTGAACTTCCTCCACTAATAGTTCCACCGCCGTATCTTCTGAACAAATTAATAAATTTAACTTAATGAAATTAAAAATGAATAAATTTAATAAGATACGTACGTGGAACTTCCGCCGCTTCCTCCGGAAGAATACCCAACAGAATGACTTCCATGCCCAGAATGAGTGCTCGACTGTCCGCCACGATGACTACTAGACGAACTTCCAGAATATCCACTGCTTGAAGAATGGCTTCCTCCAGAAGAACTTCCAGAATATCCTCCATTTGAAGAATGACTTCCTCCGGAATATCCTCCGTTATCTGAAACAGGCCTTCCCGAAAAACCAAACGGATAGCCACTTCCATATCCGCCTCCATTATCCGGACCAGGCCTTCCAGAAAATCCGACGGGGTAACCGCCTCCGCTCTCCGAAATAGGCCTTCCCGAAAAACTGATCGGATAACCACTCCCATAATCATTTCCACTGGGATGAGAACTTCCTCCACCGTAGCCTCCTCCAGAACCGTAAACTCTGTGACCGCTTCCGTAAATACTTCCGCTGCTTCCTCCGTGACTATAACTTCCACTACTTCCTCCATAACTACCGAAGCTGCTACTACTACCGTAGTGGCTTCCACTATAAATGCCACCCCCGTGTCCGCTACTACCGTAATAACTGCCCGAGCTGCTTGGATGATCTCCTGGGCCACCACTAAACGTGATTCCAATTATGGGTCCACTAAAGCCAGAACTCCCCGGCCCAGAAAAATATCCACTCCCGCTACTTCCATAACCGCCTCCACTCCCGTAACTACCATAAGTTCCTCCACTTCCATAACCGCTTCCACTACTACTAAAACCGCCTCCGCTTCCATAACCATTTCCGCTACTTCCATAACTGCTAATAGGTCCCGGCCTAGATATATATATGATTCCACCACCACCACTAGGCCCCTCGTAGCCGCCGCTCGGTCCACTGCCAAAACTTCCACCAGGACCGCTTCCGTATCCGCTAGGTCGACTACTGTATCCACCGCCACCTCCTGGTCCGTTACTATATCCTCCGCTTACGTATTCCCCTCCGTAAAAATGATTTCCTCCATAATGTGACCCGCCTCCGTAGTTTCCTCCTCCTCCTCCTCCCCCATAGTAACCACCCCCATAATTTCCTCCGCCGCCACTACCGCCCCCGTAATTTCCACCACCGTTCGAAAAACCTCCTCCGCCACCATTACCACCACCACCTCCATTTCCCCCTCCGAAACTTTGATAACCGTTACCAAAAGGTGGTCTACCATGAGAATGATAATTAGTATCTTGTCCTAATGGATCCGGTCTAAAATTTTGATTAAAATTATCACCTTCATAAGCTAAAAATGAAATAATTTTATAAATGACCATTTCCATGTAAACATAATCATTAAAAAAAAAAATAATAATTTATTACCCATTAAATTTTCATAATAATCAAATTCAGGATCGTATATTATTCTATGACCATCTCTCTGATTAAATCTACTTAATCTGCATACCCTCAAACGTTCGCTATAAACGGCGGAACGACACTGAAAACTAGCCTGTCTTAAACATTCGTCTAAACATTCGCTTAACGTTCTACTTGTTATTTCCGAATGAAATTCCCCGCCCAATCTTGAATTTCTAAAACGTTGAAAAGCTGTGTCCGGACGACGACCGTCGGCAAATAGATGAGATGTTGCCGAATTGTCGGAAAAATCACCTCCTCTTGCTAAATCAAACAAGTACAAACAAAAATTAAACAAACAATGATACAAACAAGGTATGACAATGACAACAACAACAACAACAACAACAACGTACGATTATCCAAACAAACAAGATCGAAAAGATGTCTTGATGGTGAACTGCTTGACCTTAAATCATCTCTTTGTGAAACAGAATCTTCTTCGGATATGATACATTCTCTTCTTCTGTCGTCATATTCAATAGACCGACAAAAATACCTAAAAAACAAAACAAACGAACAAACAAAATTTCCCGTTTGTTTTGTTTTGTTTCGATCACGAAACTTTTTTTTTTTTTTTACCTTTCGGCATAATTTAATTTTTCCTTTTTTTTTTTAAAAAAAAACAAAATGGCGGTTTTTTAATTTTAAAAAATTAAATATTTAAAATGTATTATGACATTTAAAAAAAAAAAAAAAACATGTCCGCCATTTAGTTTTCTAAAAATTGGAAATTAACCCTTAGTGACGTCATAGTATATTTTAAAAAAATTTTCCCCCGCGTTTTTTTTTTTGTTTTTTTTAGTCTCAATCGTACGTGATGAGCGTCTTCGTCGTCTATAAATTTATAGACTATAAATAATATTTTATAGATTTTATGGTTTAAGAAAAAAAATGGCGGATTAATCTATAAATAAATCTTTTCGTAAACAAAATTTAAATTTTTCTACAAAAAAATTTTTTTTTTTTTTTTACAAAACTCCTTAGAATTTTTTTTTTTTTATATTTACGCATGTGTGTGTGTGTGTGTGCGTAACGCATGTTTTTCATTAAAATAAAATCCCCTTGAGAGATTTAATATATAATTATCCAGTTTTGAAGAAACGAATAATAATTTTCCACAGATTTATATAATAATTATATTTGTAAAAAAAAAAAAAAAATTTAAGAAGTAGCCAATTAGAAAAAAAAAAAAAAAAATGGTAACTACTCACTTTTCGGCCCTTAAGCATAAATTTTGGCATTCTTCCAGGGTTATATTGACATACATATCAACTTCAAATGGTCCCCCTAATTTTTTATTTTCCTCTTTAACAAAAACAGCGAGGCCATCGCACCTACGTTCGGCTGGAAAATTTAATTTAAATTTTAATTATACATTCAGCGGTATCAATGTGATGGTGTATCTGGTAGTGGTGGCGGAGGTGGTGCTGGTGGTAGTGGTGTCGGGTAAAAAGAAAAAAATGTTTCCCTTACGGCTTAAACACGTGTTTTCTAAATAATCTGCATTCGGATCATCTTGTAATAGTTCCGGATGTGATCTTCTGGTAAATCTACTCATCGAACAACTTCTTTCCACCGTGTTATACGTTGCCGAACGACAAACGAATGAAAATTCGTTCAGACATCTTTCTTCGCATTCCGTACGATTTGCCGTTTGTACTTCTTTATGATCCGACGCTAATAATTTTAATTTTTTTCTCGGATGTCTTTCGTAAACGTATCGACGATTCGGACATTCTCGTTCGAGTCGATTCGCTGTGTTTTAAAATAAATCGATTAATTATTAACTTTCTCCTTTCATGAATGAATGAATGAATGACTCACATGAAAGGCAAACTTCGGTGTAATGAACGCTGTTGGGTACCAAAACCAAATTTCCTATTCCTTCGGGATGCGCTTGTTCCCTCGTCAGGTAACAAATGGATTCTTCATATTCTGGATTTCCACCGAAACCTCCTATTCTCATACCAGGTTGAAAATTGAAGGAGGTACACGTTCTAACGAGATTATTAACGGCCGTGCGATCTCTCAAACATAAATCCTGACATTTTTCCAACATTCTAAAAGGTGGTATGGTATCCCTTACTACGTCATCATCAAAACCTTGCAATTGGTGATCTGGTATACGTTCGTAAGCGACTCTACCCATGCCATGATTGCAAGTTGTTTGCGCTGTTAAACAAAAAAAAAAAATTTTAAATCGTTGAAAAATCTCTTGTCGCGAAACAATAAACCGGAAATACAATAAATTTTTTAAATGCGGTCTCCCCTCATAATTAAAAAATCGTCGTACGCCGCCCGCCGTTTGAATTAATGACAAATTTTTTTTTGGAACTGGAGAATAAAAATTTATTTATACGATTTCTGGAGAAGAAAAATGGAGAAAAAAAAATGCACTTACCATTCGTTAACATTTTTAATACGGTGAGAACGGTTATTGCCTGAACCATTGTTGATAATATATATTGTGTTATCATTTTTGTTTCTGCTATATATGATAATCAAATTGTCATGTTATCTTTTTGTTTTTTAAGATAACCAATTATTTCTCCAGCAAAGAGATTTTTAATTTCTTTTATCACAGTCTCCTGGAAAAAAAAATTCGATTCGAAAATTTTTTTTTTTTTTAAAACAAAATCTTTTTAAAAATTTATATAAATTATTATTATTAATAAATAAATAAATAAAATCTTACTCGGATGTAAAAAAAAAAAAAATTTTCTCCAGTAAAAAAAAAAAATAATAATAATTAATCGCGAAAATTTGTTTTTGATTTCGACACAACAACAAACACCGACACGGTCGACAACAAAATACAAACTCTAAACCCCTTTTCTATTCTACTCCTGTCGGTTTATGTCAGGAAGGAAGGTACGTGGATGATGATGATGATGATGATCACTCACACGTGACTTTACACGATTTTATCTAAATTTGATCATCATTTTTTTAACTTCTATCTCCGACGTCCTGTTTTCATTATTATTATTATTATCTTTTTTTTGCAGTTTTTTTTTTGTTTTGTTTTTTCCATTTAAACAATGATACATTATCGGTTCGTGATGTTTATTATTCTTCTTCCTGTTATATTTTTTTTTTTTACTGGTTTTGTTTCGTGATGAAATCTCTTCTCATCATCATCATCATGTTTGAAACAAACAAAAAAAAAAATTTGGAAATTTGTTTTTATGCGAATAACAAAACAAACGTAACAAACGTTTTTAAATTGAACGAAAGTCATTATTTAATATCATAATAAAAAAATATTGAGATTAATTTTAAAAGATTAAGATCAAAAGTCGCCCCCAGCATCCCAATGGACCATTCGAATCGCGTCGATTTTTAAAGACGATTAAAAATTAGGCAATGAACGTTTCGTTTGTCGTTTGTTTTCATTTTTTTTTCTTTATTCATTCACAACAAATTAAATAATCAACAAACGAAATTTTCTCCAGCGCTACGTTGTTTGTTTCGTCATAACATAAAAATAATTCCAGAATATTTCCAGGATGAATTTCCCAAATTTTTTTTAATCTTCATACCCGAAATTCACAAATCGACCGTTGATTGTTAACAAAACAAATGAATGATTATTATTATTATTTTTTTTTATTCCGGTATTACCAGACGTTAATCATTTCATACAATTATACCTAATAATAATAATAATAATAATAATAATAATAAAATGTCGACCGTGAGTTTTTTGTCCCCGATTGTTTAACATCCGTCGATTATTATTTAAACACCTGGACGTAAAAATTCCAGAATTTTTTTTTTTGTTAATCGACGGACGTAAATTCCAGATGATGACAAATTTACTAAATAAATCATTATTAATATTATTATCGCGTTAATATAATCGTAACTTATTAGTCTAGTTTTCGTTCCAAAAAAAAAAAAAAAAAAATTTTAATTTAAAAAAAAAAGGAGGAAGGAGGAGGAGGAAGAGAGGAGGTAAATGACACGTTTGAGAGAGAGAGAGAGAGAGAGAGGGGGAAGGAGATAGAGAAAGAGTGCAAGAACCCGAATTTCCACCTCTTTTTCCGCCATTTTTTTTTTTTTTTCAATTTACAATTTCGCTTTTTAATTTTTATATTTAACTTCCTGAAATTCTTCTGAAAAAACAAAAACAAAAAAAACAACGACAACTTCCGTTTCCGGTCGTCTAATAAACAAAAAAAAAATACGAAACGAGTGAGTGGAAAAAGGGTACAAGTTAAATTTAAAAAATATTTTTTCTTCTTTCTTTCCAGTTTTTCTGGAAAAAAATTTGATTTTTTCGTTTTCGTTAGATATAAATAAAAAAAAAAAAATTTTTTTAAAGATGAACAAAATAATAATAATAATATTAAATGATTGGTACGAATCGACTGGAAATTTTCCTGGATAATTTTTCAAAAAAAAAATCACATTAAATCTCTTTTTTCTCCAAAACAATTGTTAAAAAACCCTAATTAAGTTCATCGAGATCATAAAAATAAGGTCGGAAAAAAAAAACCGTTTCCTTTGTGAAAAAAAAAAAAAAAATTTCGTCCGTGAGTTTTTTTTTTAATTACGCCATTTTTAATTAAAAAACCTTAAAATTTATTCGTGTGTAAAAAAAAATAAAAAAAAAAAAATTTTTATTTATTTCAATATCCCGAAAGTTAATGACCGACGACATTTTATCGCGAAAATTTTTTCCGATAAATTTTTTTTTTTTAAATAAAAAATAAATAATAAATAAATAATGATGATGATGATGATGACGCGATTCGAAAATTTTAATTTTTTTAAAGGTACACAAAAAATTCGTCTGCTCATTATTACGACGTAAATTTAAAAAAATGACGTCACGGTTCGTTACGACTTTGGAATTTTTTTTACTAATAATAATAATAATTTTTTTTTTTATTGTTTAAAATAATAAAATGAAATTTGAAGGCCTTTTTTCATTCTTTTCATCATCATCATTATTATTGTTGTTTAACGTATAACAATTATTATTATTATGATTAAATTTCAAACCTCGTCAAGTTTCCAATATTTAGTTTTTCCCACCTGATCACCATCATCCCACAGGAATAATTTCTTATCCTCCCAAGTTTATCTTTCACTTCAATGGTGGTGGCCGTGGTGACGACAGCATCTTTGTCCGATGTACCAAAAAATCAGGAAAATCTCTTATCTGGGGGTGGGGGGCGGGGCGGTCAGAAACGTCTTCGTTTTTCTTTCTTATCTTGTTATCTATCACATGTGAAAACCAAGATTAGTTTTACTATTATTATTATCGTTAACATTACCTCTCTCTCTCTCTCTCTCTCTACTATTTTAATTCGTAAAAAAAAAATTTTCCGATTTATTTTTTTTATCAATAATAATAATAATATTTAATAATAATAATAATAATAAATGCCTGCGTATAGAAAAAAAATTTCATTATTATTATTAATACAAAAAAAAAAAAAAAAACTTAAAATATACATAAAATTTATTAATGTGTAAACATTTCATTATTATTATTATTATTATCCTCATCGAAATCTCTCCCGTTTTAAATATAATAATAATAATAATAATAGAGCACTTTAGATTATAAAAAAAATTTTGAGCGATATGTTAATGGAAAAATTCACGACAGCAAATAAAAAAAAAATGACGAAATACATATAATAAAAATTAAATTAAATTAAATTAAATTAAAAAACTTATCGTTAATAATAATAATGATAATAATGATAATAATAAACAATTTTAAAAAATATATATGTATGTATTAAAATTAATATTATTATCGTCATCAACCGTCGGACATACAAAAAAAAAAAAAAAAAATTAATTTTTAAATAAATAAAAAATTGTCGATGTAGTACCAATAATAATAATAATGATAAAATCATTAGCGTAAACGTTTTACGTTGTAAAAAAATCATATTTGTCATCATTATCATCATTAACAATAACAACGTCATACATTTTTTTTTAAAATGATTTTTCCTATATATATATATATATATAAATATTATTTTTTTAAAAAATTTTGTATTTACATTAACTACATAACGTGGACGGATATAAATATAAAAAATTTTTGCTTTTATTTTTATGTTAAGGACACTTGTTTGGCTTTTTTTCTTCTCCTCCTTTTTCTTTTCCTTCGGAAAAAATTTTTTTTTTCTACGAATTTTCTCGCTTGGGCGGAAAATTTTAATACTGTTAATATTATTAATAATTTTTGTTTCGTTTCGAATTATTTTTCGATGAAATAAAATTAGAAAAAAAAAAAAAAACATTTGTACTAAAAGTATTGTCGGAAGGCATATAAAAAAATTTCTTTTTTTTCTTCGTTGATTTATCGCGAAATTCAAAAGCAGATTGATGGTGGTGGGGGGGAGGGAATTCCAATCGATCACGCCGTGCTTAAATAAATCATAATAAAAGTCAATACGAAAACGGTGACGGAACTGTAAATCGCTTTCGTTTGACTACTCGTCTGAGCTAGAGTCGGTCCTGAAACGGGAAAAAAAATTAAAAAAATAAATTCGCGATTCGAGGAGCGCGAGGTGGGGGTGGTCGCGGGTGAGCTTCACCCCTAGTAACTACTCACCCATTTGAAAAGTGTGAGCGGGAGAAGACATTCTTCCGTCGCCACCGTTTGAAAAAGCCAAAACTCTCAAATGATATTGTTTTCCCGGCGTCAAAGTGTTTATGTATGCTTCGAGTGTTGAACCGACCGGAACTATCGTATCGTTTGCACTCGCCATGTCCTGATCGACTTCCCATATTCGAACCTTTCAACAAAAACAATGTAATTAAATTATATTGATTTTAAATAACGACAATTTCGAAAGCGCGACAAACGCACGCGACTCTTTTACGCTTCCGGTTTATAAATCATTATTATTATTCTTTCGTTTAACCGTTTTTTTTTTTTTAAAATATTATTGTATAAACGTTAATGGCAACCTTATATCCTATAAGTGGTTCTTCGTCGTGGCTCGGTGACACGTATCTCCAAACGACTTTAATCGTTGACGGATTAATACCCATGACGTGAACAGAGGAGGGCGGTTTCTGAGGAGCCTTTCTGAACGTTCTCTCTGAAATTATCAATAATTTGTATTTTTGTTATTTGAAAAAAACGAAGATTTTTCCTCTTCTTCTTTTATTACTGTAAATTATAATAATAATAATATTATTAACCTATGAATTTTTCACTTTCTGGACCTTCTCCGGCGTTATTATATGCCATAACTTTAACATTGTAATAAGTGTCTGGCTGCAATCCAACAATTAAAGCCCAAGGACGAAGAGTTCTACTTAAGTAGTAAACGGCTTCGAATTCTTGTTGCGACGTTTTCCAATATTTAAGCTTTTGAAGAAAAAAATAATAGTAAAATAAAGTATATTATTTGAAATACGATCGAGGGAAAAGTTTAAGTTTCGGAAAATAATTTTACCCTGTGACCTATGAGTTTTCCTCTGACAATGTCCCGACGCATCGGAATCGGAGTCCATGTTACGTTTAACGAAGTCGAGTTAAATGACCTCGCCGAGACTTGTTGCGGTGCAGCCAAAGGCATTTCCTCTGCGCTGTAGATAACGTGAACCGCACTTTCCGGTCCCTTTCCGATATCGTTGATGGCTTGAACTTTGACTTCGTATTCTGTAAAATAATATTCGCTGTTAACTCTAACCACGGCGGCACCGACGTTACCGAATTCTTTGAGTTCTTTAAATTCAAATTCTCTGTTTGTTCCGTTTCTTCTCCAAAATATTTTATAATAAATTCCAGGTCCGTTTTGATCTTGAGGAGGTAATGGCTGCAGACGAAAAAAAAGACACGTAATTTATTTTGTTACAGGTATAGGCTTTCAGTGCAAAAAAAAAAAGAAGAAAAAATACCAACCGTCCAAGTAATGGACAAATCTCCAATTTTACCACCTCCTCCTCCAATATTAGATGGCGGTTTATTCGGGCTGTCGGGAGGTGTAGAGTATTGCGGAGATGGTAACGACGGATATCCGGGTCCGATTTGATTGACGGCCAAAACTCTAAATTCATAAATAGACCATGGAGAAAGTACATTTTCCAAAATGGCTTCTTTTCTGTTATTATAACGATCCACTTCCCGCGCAGTTATCACTAAAATTTTCAAAAAAAAAAAAAATTACGTAGAATTAAAAACATTTAACGTATCGAGTAAGTATTTGCTTTTTTATCAACCAACATTTAGTGACATTTTGCCACGTTGAATTCCAATTCGTTCTAGCAGCCACGTTGTAATAGAGAATCGGACGCCCGTTGGAAGCTCCGTCAGTCCATTGAATGGTTGCCGATGTGGTGCTAATACTGACAACCTGCACTCCACCCGGTGGTCCAGGAGGCCCATGAACAATAACATTGGTTTTAGTGGAAATTCTACCGACTGCACTTTTCACGATGCATTCGTATTCCCCAGCTTCAGCCAAAGTCGTATTTATCACGTGTAAAATGCCACCGTCGGGAATCTACAAGAAAATTAATTTATTCAACTTTTTTTCGTTTTTTTTTTTTTTTTTAATAATTTTAAAAATTGTCGTTCGTTTAATATAATTCACTTACTAAACGCAAATTACTAGAATCTCGTTCTTTGATCCTTATACCGTTATGTGTCCAGATGTAAGCCGTATCTAAAAGTTCGTCCGTATTCGCCTCGCAATTTAACGTAAAATTTTCCATAACGGAAGTTATGATTTGAGGTGGAAAAGTTGATGTCATTTTCGGAGCACCTGATGCGAAAAAAAAAAAAAAAAATCAAACACGTTAATAAATTTCTTTAAAAATAACTTTACATCATTACGATGATGATAACATACGTAGCACGATTAATAATCCACGACTTTCATCAACTCCGTAATTATTGGACGCGGTACACGTGTAAAGTCCCTCGTCATCCCTGGACACGGGACTTATAATTAAATTTCCATTTTCTAATATTTTTCTTCGACCACCCGAACCTAAAATATCATTATTTTTTTTCCATACGAATTTCGGTCTCGGAGCTGCTTCAGGATTGCACACGATTGTTACATTTCCTCCTTCGGCAGCATAAGTTTCCGCTTCTAATGGTTTCTTTTCAAAAGAAGGTTTAAATGCTGCAAAAAAAAAAATTTCCCGTTAAAAAAAAAAAATGTCTTTCAAGTTTTAAAACCGATAAAAATGTTTTACGTACAAAGAACTCTTAATTGAGCAGAAGAATATTTCGTCTTCAACTGATTACTCGCTCTACACTGATACATTCCAGCGTCACTCAATGGATTAAGTCTTTTTATTTGTAATATATTGTCTTGTACAAAATAACGATCTCTATCTTGAGGTGGTAAATTGAAAGGATTCAAAGGTAAACCGTTGCGAAACCACGTGTAATTAACATCGGGTATTCCGAAAGCTTCGCAAGTCCATGTCAAATCTTCTTGATAGTCTAAATGTTTATCAGCCAAAGGAATCGTGAAATTGGGTTCTGCTTGAATGGAAACAAATACTCCGTTTTCAATTGAGGCACGATCATTAAAAGCACGACAAACATATTCGCCCTGGTCTTCGACAGAAGCTTGAGGTAAAATTAAAACTCTGTTAAAGTTAGTAAATACTGATCCTCGAGGCATTGGAGCTCCTCTTCTTGTCCAATTATAAGTTGGTACCGGGCTAAAATTTTTTTTTTTTTTATTAAAAATGAATAAAGGCAAAAAGAAAATAATAGGGTGAAAAAAAACGCTTACTATCCGAAGGCGATGCACTCTAAGCGAACATCTTTTCCAGCCAAAGGAGCTTCCGGAAATACTTTCGGGAAATTATTTGGGAATTTCAATTGCTGATAATTCGCTAAAAAAATTATATAATAAAATAAATTTACACGTGAAAAAATTGCTTTAATATTTTTAAAATCGTAGCAAATAATAAATACTTACGATTAGTTACGACGTTCAAGTGAAAGAAAGGACCGGTACGACCGATAGACGAAACTTTACTTTGAGCAGTGCACGAATAACTTCCTCTGTCGATTTCCTGAAGTGCAGAAAAATATAAAGCCCCATCAAATGATACGAAAACTCTTCTATCCTCTTCAACGAAATTTGGGAAATAGTCTCGAGTCCATTTATAATTGATGTCTTTAAAAAAAATTGCATAAAATGTTATAAACGACTATTTAAAAGTTTAAATTTACTTCCTTTCGAAAACATCATCAAACTAATATTATTTATACCTGGAAAATGAGGCGGTGGATCGCAATAAATAGTTTTACCCCAATTTTGATTTCCGGATTCGGGAGCTCTTTGTAAATTAAATTCATTAATATAACCAAACGACAATTTAATACTCTCTGATAATATGGAACCGAATTTGTTGGTGGCTTTACAATGATATGACCCTCTGTCTTCAATCTAAAAGTACATAATAAGAAAATTATATTGAAATTTTTATATAAACAAAAGAATTTACAAGACGAAAATTTTAAAGCAGTAATAATAATTTTTAATGAAAAAAAGATTAATGGAAGAGAGTAAACAAAAAATTTCTTACTTGTTTCGGATCATATATTATCAAATTACCACCACTAATAGTATATCTTTTATCGACTAATGGATTAATTAAAACCGAAGTCAATACATCATTTTCATATTCTTCCTTGAACCATTCATAAGTTGGTGATGGGTAACCACCAGCTAAACACCTAAAATTAAAAAATTTATTAAAATTTGATCAACAAGATTTTTGAAAAGTTATGATTCGTTTTCAAGTTTTATTAAGTTAATAAATGTAAATTTTAGAATTTCATCATTTTCAATAACTTTTAAAATGTCATTTTAAAATTTAAAAAAATGTTTACTAAATTTAATATAACCTTAAAGAAAAAATACCATACCTTAATGTGACATCATTTGTCACTTTAACATTTGAAACATCGAAAACAACATCTTGAGGTTGCATTATGAAATAAGGCCCCATTGGAATTTTATTCGGATCATTTACATTAATACCATATTCATGTGTTCTTTCATCGACAGACATGTAATGAAGTTTTCCAATATGAGCTTCACAAATGTATAAAAATTGCTCGTCACCTTTAACAGCTTTGAAACCCCATCTTTTTAAGTTGTGCGAATAACTAGAATACATTGTAAATATAATTAAAAATCAATTTAAAATTTAATATAAAAAAACTTATATAATTAAGATATTAATAAAGAAATTACCTGTAAACTAAATAATCAGATCCATAATTGTTATCTTGAGACGGTAAAAATGCATTTTCCATGTTAAGTAATGGTGAGCCATCACCATCATTTACCCAATTTCCAGGGTTGTGTTGCCTTATGCTAGTATACCATTTTCTGTGCTGAGGATCCCTCCACAGTAATTGATAAATTAAAAATCCATGTTCTTCCAAACTATTGACACTGACTAAATCACTATGGTATGCTTCACAATTTTTTTTCGCATCCTCTCTTGCTCTCATAGGAGATTTAATAAATCTATAACAGGACTGTTGATATTGTTCCCAATGTTGAGGACACTTCAATTCATATTCCGAACTATGATAATTATACATATAAGGATTAACCGATAGCTCATTGTTGTAACCTCTATGTGGGGGTGAGGTTTGATAATCATAAGTGTTTCCTCTCATATAACTGCTTTGCTGATTTCCATACTGCTGAAACGGATTGTTTTGACTACTTTTACCAAATGGATTGTTTCCATCTTGGTTCGAAAACTGACCAAATGCATTCATATTAAATTGGCAGCTTATTAATTGAAAAAATAAAAAACTAAATAAAATTCTAATCATTTTTTTCTTTATATCATAGCATATTAACCTGAAAAGAAATAAATTTTATATAAATTACAATTTATCTTTGACTTATTATGTAATTATTAATAATAATACTGTGAATTTAGCAATACAATAATTTGAAAAGCTGTTTTCATCTAAGTTTTGTTATAATAAAATAGTATAAATACCCATGTTAAAAAGAAATATATTTAAACTTTAAATCTAGAACTTTGTCACGTCAATAAATTAATTACGAAATTAATAAAGATAGCATAATTAAAATTAGTAATGAATTCCACATAAAAAAAAAAAAATAAAAGATGGCGTCTAACGTATTTTGGCTCTCAAATTTCTAATTTATTGACAAAAAAAATGTAAGCCGTTTGTAAAATTATTAACGTGTAATTGAATTTAAAAGTAATTTGAATAGAATATCTTGAAAAAAATAAAATAAATATTTTTATTATTTAAAAAAAAATAGTAAAACATTGTTCACGTTAACTGAAATGGGATGGGCCGACGAATAAAAATGTATGAATAATTTTAAAATTAATAAAATAAAATTTGTTTTAATAAAAATTTAATATCTCACGGAGTCTTAAATAAATATTTTACATAATATTTATAATAAACCATGCAAAAATTAATAACTTACCCGTAAAATTTATAAATTTGTAAATTAAAATCAAATATTATTATAAAACAAATAGCACACTACCAAGAAATTAACTCAACGCAAAACGTTTTTGCTACGGTTCATAGAATGAGTAACGCGATTCGTCATCGATATATCGAATAATAAAACAAAAGAAGAGAAATACGACGGTTTTTGACCGTTACGAAATTTCAAATACTTTATAAATTTTATAAATTAACTTTTAATTGTTTTTAAAAGATAGAAATTATTAAAATTTAATTTTTTCTCATAGAAAATAAAACATTTAAAACTCTAAAATATTTTCCTAAACTCCTCCGTGATATTTAATAAATAAACGAACGACTTCCATTTTGTTTTTTATTAAATTCATGATTTACTTTTTAAAAAATAAAATATTTCAACGTATGAATTTTTTTTTTTAATAAAAGTTTAAGAAATTGATGAATAAAATCAATAAAATTTTCCTTTTTTTTATCAATAATAATAATAATTTACATAATAATTTAAAAAAAAGAAAAACAGTTTCACCAATTACAAGTATAAATTTTCTCCCCAAAATGGTTTTTTCATTTTTTTTATCAAACTTTAAAAAAAAAAAAAAGAAAAAACTGTGTTTTTATGTCATTACTTAAATGCACAAATAAGAAAAAAATAAAAAAACTATACACGTGCATAAAGTTTAAGTGTATATAAATAAATAAATTTAAAAAACTTTCTAAATATCCATAACTAAATAAGTCATTAAACTCAATTTATTTTAATTTAAAATATTATTAATAATAAAACAAACCGTAAACTTATCATTATTATTATTATTATCGTAAAATAAAAAATTTAACATGAAAACATAGATAAAGAGAAAGTAGTTAAATAAATAAATAAAATAAAAAATTATTATTATTTTTTTTTCTTAAATGCAAAAATCCTTTGAGAAAAAAAATTTTAAAAAAATTTTCTAATTTTAAACAAAATGGTTGTGTTTTTTTTTTATTATTTAAAATAAAACAACCGTTGTAGATTTATTTGAAGAAAATATCATCAAAATAAACAACAAGATAAATCAATCAATCAATCAATCAAAAAGGCAAACGTTTTAAATTTAAAAAAAAAAAAAAAAATCAGGTCACATCCTTGTTGAACATTCATTTAAATTATTTATTTATTTATTTATATCACATCTTTCACATTGACTTAGGTCGGTTCGTGTAAATGAATAAATAATGTCGGACATTTTTATTTTAATTAATAATAATAATTATTATTATTAATATTAAATAATGTCCAAAAAAAAAAACAGAAAAGATTTAATGTACATATGTGAAAAAATACGGTAGATAAATCTGTATTTATTTATTTATTTTGTGATTTAAATAATAATAATAATAATAATTAGCGCTAGGGGAGGGAAACGGAGGGTGGGGAGGGAGAGGGGAGCAGGAGGGAGGGGAAAACGTCAAAATGAAGTTCGCAAAACATTGAACCTTTCAAAATGTTTCAAAGCCAAAAAATAATTTGTTTATATAACCTTAACTTTATTCAAACCTCGTTAACACTTTTTATTTTTTTATTAAATTTGGCACGGATTACGATTTTTTTTTCTTTTCGTGGGGGGAGGGGAAAGGGGGAGGTGATGGTGGGAGAAGGAGGAGGAGGTGGAAGGGGGGAGGAGGAAATATGTTTAATTTCGATCCGTGATAAATAAAACAAAAAAAGATTTGGATTTAAAAAAAATTTTCTTTTTTCGTTTTTTTATAAACTTCATTTCGAGATAATAATACTTACTATTAATTTTTTTTTTTTTTTGGTAATAAAAATATTCCAGGTACGTCGTCGTCATCCGTACCTGTTTTTTGTGTTTTTTCGGGACAATATAAAAAAAAATAATTACTTTTAATTTAACGTTTGGTTTTTAAACTAAGTGTGACGTAGCACTTAAAATATTTTTCCCGTGACTTAAAAAAAAAAAAATTATTATTATTATTATTAATTTGGGGAGTTTCAGGTACGCGAACTTTTTTTTTAAACTTCATATTAAAAAAAAATTGAAAACGTCATCGTGATAAATTAAAGAAGTCAAAAAAATAAAAATAAATAAATAAATATGAAAAAAAAAACATTTATTAATCAATAACAACATTTATTCATTTTAATTTAATAATAATAATAATAATAATAAAAACACGTGACCACCTCATCATTATGATAATAATAATAATCATCATCATTATAATTATTTTATTTTATTTAAAAAAAAAAAAAAATAATAATAATCATAATAATTATTTAAAATAAATTTACACGAGAGAGAAAAAAAAACAAATTTTAAATTTAACGACGACCGCCATATTTATTTTTATTATTATTATTATCATCAAAGACGAATTTTTTTGAAATTTAAACAACAAAAAAAATATTAAATGATAACATTCATTGATATGAATCAAATCATTTTTTTATAAAAAAAAAATATGTCATAATAATAATAATAATAATTTTTTATCCATATCACTTCATGTATTGTCATAATAATAATAATAATAATAACAAAACAATAATTAATTTAATTATAATTATCAATAATAATAATAATTTTTTTTTATTCAATAAAATTTATTTATATATATATGTATATTTCTTGCTCATTCATTCAAATATAAAAAATAACCCATTTATTTATTTATTTAATAATAATAATAATAATTAACCTAACCAGGTATTTATATATTATACACGTATACTCATATATATATATATATATATATATATATATATATATATATATATTGTATATATAAAATTAATAATAATAATAATATTAAGATTAAATTTATCTAATCTAAACAAATAAATAATTAATTAATTAATAATTAATAATAATAAAAAAAATAATTTTTAAGTATATGATACTTACACATAAATATATATATTTATATATATTTATTAAAACATAATTTTTTATTTGTTTTTATACAACATTGTTCATGTTATAAAAATTATGTTTTTTTTATGTTTATTTTTTGTATATGTGACTCGATATTATTTACACATAAATAAATTTTTTTTTTTTTTTGTCCTATGTATGTATGTATGTATAATTTGTACAATTTTTTTATTTACTTATGTACGTATGCGTGTGAATGGAAATAAAAAAAAATTAAATATGGCCGTGCGTGTGCGTGTGTATTTTATGTTATTTATTAGGAAATCGATTGATTGATTGATCGATCGATCGATCTTAAAATTTAAAAAATTCGCGTGTAATTTATTCATAATTATTAATATTATTATTATTATCGAATTGCGTGTGCGTCCGTGCGTGCGTTGAGAATTAATTTAAGTACGACGAACAAGTATCGTAAAAAAAAATAAATAAATAAATATTTTCGAGAGTGTGCGTATGCCCCGTATTTACGCGTGTGCGTGTGCGTGTACGCGCGCGTATTCCCTAAATTTTTTTTTTCCTTGCACCGCCATAACGAAAATAAAATTCAAATTAATTAACGAACGTATCGAAATATATCGAAATAAATAATTATTCGAGTCTCGAACGAACTTTGAAATTAATTTTTTTTTAATACCATTTTGCATGTGTATCCGTGCACGTGCGTGCACGTGTGTTTGTACGAAAGAGAAAATTTTCTTTTTTTTTTTTTTTCGAAGCATTCGTTTAAAACAAAATGATTAATTTTATTTATTTATTTAAAAAAAATTTAACCGGTTTTTTTATTTATTTAATCACCGACCCCAAAAATTACTCATGTAAATATATACATATATATATATATATAAAAATATAATAATAATAATTAATATACATACATATATATTTATTTAATTGTTTTACATAGCTTAATTGGCCACAACAACAACAAAAAAATAAATAAAGTCTCTCTGTGCATTCTTATTTATTTATTAATCATTATTATTATTATTATCATTATTATTATTTTCTTCTATATAAAAAATAATAATTTTAATAATGGTTTGGCACCGATATTTAAAGCAATCATAGAAAATTTTTTAAAGCCTTTTATTATTATTATTATTACTTTTTTATACAAAACACCTTATTTAAAAATAAAAGTCACAAATGAAGGCAAATATTTGGTCCATTTTTTTTTTGTTTGTTTGTTTGTCATTTAATTACTTATTAATTAATTATTATTTATATTAAAAAAAAAGTTTATTAAGTAATACTTAATTACAGTTATAGACTATTTCGAATAAATAAATAAATAAATTTTTTTTTAAAATTACAAAAAATAATAATAATAATAATAATAATAATAGAAAAAACGTCAAAGACGGGATTTCAAGTCTGTTGGATTTGTTTTTCTCACACACAGAACACTTAATCAATCATACGTCACAATTTTCTCTTCATAATTATTATCATTATCATCGTCATTGATCACTTACTCTCTTTTTTGAGATTCTGTTCTGATTTTTTTTTTTTAATTGTACATTAAAAATCGATGATAAATTTAACGGTCTCATTGTGGCGTGTGAGGATGTGGCGTGCACGATGGACCCAATAAGACGGCCATCGAGGAAAGCGTGGAACCCGGCAATGGTTTTTTTATGGATAAAAAACTTTTGAGATTAGCCACCTCTGATGCGAGACGTGCCAGTTCGGATTTCATGCGTTCATCACCGTTCGTGCTCGAGGATTCATTTTCCGGTTCTCGATCCGGAGACGTCGGAGGTGGTTCTTGATGTCCTGCCCATTCGGCTCCGAGAGATATTCCCGAATCGCGTTCGTCGCTGCTTCCTTCTCCATCCCATGGCGGACTCGACAAGGGTCCGGGCTCTTGTTTGATAGTTTGCAACGAAAGCAATGCCGATGCAACATCTTTATCCCCGATTCGAGATTTGTGTCTGAGTTTGTGTGGAAGGCTGTTGCTCGGACCCGGTGCCGGACTCGTTAATGTGAGTGGCAACGGTTGAGAATTTTCATCGCCGCTTTCGCATCCGTTGTCGCAAGGACAAGGAGGAGGCGAGGGCTGATTGTGAGACGATCTATCGCAGCTCAAATTCAAAACGCTGTTGTTTGCGACGTCCAATTGGGGTTGAAGAAGTGATGGTAGCGGATACGAATAGGGTTGTGGGAAAGTTTCCGGTTCCGCTGGAGGATAGTTTGTTTCGTTCACGACAGGTGGCTGTTGAATCGGGAAAAGATGAATCGGATGATTTGAAGGCGGAGCTCTCATCAACGGAGATGGATTCGTACTAGAGGAAGGAGGATATATTGGGGATGATCCGACTAATTTGACTCGTTTTGTTTGACTTATAACTTGTTCGTTACTCGGAAAAGCTGCCATTACCTGCTCAACACTAATTATATTGTCCCCGCTTATTCCAAATTTTTCTTTTATAGCAGCGAGTTGAGCTTTCAACAAGTGATTTTCTTTCGATAGTTCGACGACTCGAGTTTCGAGTATCATATCGTTAAACCGACGTTTTTCCCGAGATCTTTTCGCTGCTTCATTGTTACGACGTCTCCTATCCCAATAACTGTCATCTTTTTTATTATCGGGTATGAATTCCCGTTGTTTTCTCTGCGAGAAAAAATCCTTTCGTTTTATACCATTTGATATTTCACATTGTTGGGCATATGAATCCGCGTTTCCGGACGAGGGTGAAACTCTCGGATCGTTGTGGGCAAATTCTTCTCTTGAATAATGACTGTCTAAGCTACTGTTACTATGTCCTTCGCTACCAGGCATTGTGATGCAGGTTGTTTCGCCGTTCACCGGCGAACATACTTCTCGTACGGCAAATTCTGCAACCATTATTCTATCCCCATTTTGTGATAAATCACCTATTAAAAAAAAAAAAAATTATTATTAACATTATGACAAATCATTTAAGGCGATAAAACCGATAAATCGATCGATCGATCGATAATTATTGGGTTTCGAATGGGGAAAATTACCAACGAGTTCAATATTAAATTTTTTTTTAATGTGATCGATCGATTGCTTATTATATGAAATTAGGCAACATGTAATTAATTCCGTCTCGACTAAAAATTTTTTTTTTTTTCTTCGTCTTTAATAATAATAATAAAATTATTATTATAAATTATTTTCGCTAAAGTATCGACTTTGTCGCACATTTAAAAAAAAAAAACCATTAATTAATTAACATCATTTAAAATTCGAATAATGGTTTTTCGAAACGAAAGCAGCAAAAAAAAAAAAAAAAATTTGCTGCGGTTCATCCTTTTTTTTTTCCTATAATGATTTAATATTTACGAGGTAATAACGTGCGGCCGCCATTTTGTCCCTGTAACGAAAAGGAAGTTAAATAAAAAAATTTTTTTGAAAACAGGAAGCGAAATAAATAAAAAAAAATTCGTAGGACGACCGCCAAAATTTGACGAAAAAAATAAATAAATAAATAATCAAGAAAAACTTATTTATTAAATTTATTAAACGAGTTAATAATAAATTTAATTAATCAAAATATTAAAAAAAAACATCAATTAAACACCTGTTATTCTGGGGAAAGTTGTTGTTGTCGTCGATCAATATCCTTAATTTACCTCTTTAGCAATAATAATAATAATACCAATAGTTTTTTTTTTTTTTTTTCAATAAGATCAACTTTCACGTATGTCTTTCTACTGGCCATTTTTTTTTTTTTTTTTTATCATAAACGTTATATTTAAAAATCGTTAACAAAAAAAAAAAAAAAACTGGGACCAGGTAGTGAATACCAAAAAAAAAAAAAAAAAAACAAAAATTTTGTAACCGTAATGATAATAATAATAATTTCCTTGATTCTTATAAAATATCGTTGGTGTTTTTTTTTTTTTTTTTTTAAAGGACTTTTTTTTCCCCAAGGTTTTCCAATCAAATTAATTAAAAAAAAAAAAAACTTTATTTATTATTATTATCATCATCATCATATTATCTACTACTACTATTTATTTTTAGTTAAAAGTATTTCCGGATCGTTTTAAATATTTACAAAAAAAAATTTTATTTTACCCTCTAATTTTCTAATTTTACGTCATTTTTTAGAGGTTTAACGTAAAAATAAATTAATCGATATGACGTCATAGATTTTCGTTATAATAATAATTTACGAAGAGCGCGTTCAGTATAGTTAATAATTATAAGAAAGAATTAAAAACCTTGTCTCGTGGCAATTACATCATTTTAAATTATGCAACGCAATAAAAAAAATTTAAAAATGTTTTTGAATAAAAAAAAATAAAAATAAAAAATCTCGTAAAAACATGAGAAAAAAAAAAAAAAAATCTTTATTTTTGGATAATGTCATGTCAAGTTTAGGCAAAGGTTATTAAATGCGTAAAAGAAAAATTCCCCCATTTTATTATTATTATTTTTAATAATAATAAAAATAACAAACAATGTTTTTTTTAAATATAAATAAACCGTAAATAATTTTCTATATAATAAATATTCTTCCACTTAAAAAAAATAAAAACTGCAATAAAAAAATTAATTATTTGACTTTGGCCTTAAAGCTGTCATTTTGTAACAAATGATTGCATTGCACTTTATTACGCAATATTACACAAAAAAAAAAAACAAAATGTATTTAACTTTCCCCTTCCCCCCTCCTAGAGCTTTTTTTTTTGTTTAATATTTTAAATTATTAATAAACCGCGTATTTTTATAAAACGTTTTTATTATTAAAATTTAATTTGTTCTTACGTTTATCTAAAAAAAACCGTTAAATCGTTTCATCCATTCTTCACCATTTTAATTGTCTTTACGGGTACGTTCAGAAATCGTCGTTTTTTTTAATGAGGAAAAGAGCAAAAATAAAGAAACGCGACACGTTCGAATCGTCGTCGTCGTTTTTTTAAACCTCACACGTTATTATTTTAAAAAAATCAAATCAAATCGATAATTAAATATTGATTTAAATAATTTTAAACGTGGGAAATAAAAAAAAAATTAATTAATATTACCTTTTTTTCTAATTTATTTATTGCTTTTACACGCGGTTAAATTAAAGTAGAAAAAAAGAAACGCAACATTTTTTTTATTGTTGCCAACACTACCGACTACAGCGCCAAACAAATTAAGCGGCTAATATTTCAACTAATATACATTATTTACCCCTACACGAACTCACGCGATATCGTTTCTTTTTTTTTTAACGGTTTTTTCCCCCCATGTCATAATATACAAAAAAAATGCTTTTTAACAATCGAAAAATAATAATAATAATAAAAATTTTATTAAAATTGAATTATTTAACATTTTAACGTAAAATTACATACGTTTAATGATAATTATTTAAAATTAATAATAATTTAATTTAGGTTATTATTATACTTGATTCAAATCTACATTTAAAAAAAACTAAAAACTAACTGTAGATTTTTTAGAAAATAAGTGGAAAAAACAAATAAAACAATGTAAATTTACATTTGTCCCCTTTATCATTAGTCATCATTGATATAATATAATTCTTAGTCATAAAAAAAAAAAAAAAAAGTTAATTATTACAAAAGTCGGAATAATAACAAATATAAATAACGGTTAAATGTTAACGTTTTTATTCAATGGTGTCATAAGAGGTTGCATAAGCGGGAAAAAGAGAGTAATAAAAACTAAAAAAAAACATATTTCAATACTTATGTATCAAAAAATTAAATAATTAATTAATTAATTAATAGATTTCCGGTTTTTATTTAACGTTTTAATCGATTTACGGATCGTTTTCCCTTCGACATTTTTTTTTTTTTTTTAAAAAAACGAAACTTGCATCATTCATTAATGAAATTTTTTTTTTCATAAATTGCAAAATGATCCTTGGCCGTGAAATGTAAAAGTTAGTTTTTATAAAAAAACGAGTTTATTATTATTATTATTATTATTATTATTATTATTACCAGGGTGGTCTTTAACGTGGTACAACCCACGGCAAATATTAAAATAATAGAAAGCTATTAAATTATCGTTTTGTGTGTGTGTGTGTGCGGTTTTTCTTTTTACCCTAGTAAAAAATCAAAAACTAAAGTAATAATAATAATAATAATAACATGTGCTTAATTTAATATTCGTAAAAAACGATGAAATTACGTAATAAAATAAACTCATCCTCCTCCTTCCTACGTCCCTGACACGTTCCATTGTCATCACTCACACGTCCATGTTGTACACGACGAAAAAAAAAAAATTCCGTCAGTTCAATGACAATTTTTTCATTATTATTAACATTTTATTATTAAAACGATTACTTAAAACATTTTTGCGGGTATTTACGCGCGTTAAACTATAGCAAAAAAAATTGGTATCATCCACGAAACGACGACGAATTTATCGAATTATCGTAACGAAATTTTTTTTTTAATTCGCACAAAACTTTTACTTATTTAAAAAAAAAAAAACAAAATGGCGGATTATTAACCGCAACAGGAAACAAAAAGAGGCTAACCGAGAGATGGAAACAAACAAACAAATAAAAAAAAAATTATTAAAACTTTTTAAAAAAAAGGTAAAATTAATGATGATGATAACAATAATAATAATCATGGAAAAGTTATTATTATTATTATTATAGAAAATTTCATTTTTTTTTTTTTTAATAAAATTGCGGTTAACGAGCGCAAAAATAAAAAAAAAAAAACATTATTTATTTATTACTTTCTTTTTTTTTTTGTACGTAATAAACAAGAAAGAAAAAATGAATGAAAAGTTATTAAAACAATTTTCTTTTTCGTCCTTTGAAATAATCCTTTTTAAAAATTATTATTATTAGATTATTAAGTCAAAAAAAAAGAAATATTTAATTAATTTATGTTTAAATAATCGGTATAAATTTTTATCGACCGCAAAACAAAACAAATATTAATAAAGAAATATTAGGAAATTAAAAAAAAAAAAAAAAAAAAAAAACACGAGCATGAGAAATGAAAACAAAAAAAAATGGCGGTTTAGTCACTGATAAGAAAAAAAAACTATCGAAAATATCGATCGATTTTTTTTTTTTTTTAAATCGTGACTATTTGCAATTTTTTTCTTACTTAAATATTAACATAATTTAATAATTATTATTATTATCAAGCAAAATGAAAATGAAAAAATTGTTTTTACGAAACAAAAAAAAAAAAAAACATGGCCGTTTTAAAGTCGACGATTTATTAATTAATTAAAAGCAGACGAATTTTTCTTTTTCTTATTATTATTATTAACAATAACAAACGCGATAGGAAACGAGTGAACAAAAAAAAATAAATTATTTATTTATTTATTATTAGAAAAATTCGATCGATGGATCGAATCGCGTTTGTTATTGTTTTTCTTGTTATTTTTTAAATAATAAATCAATATATCGATCGATATCTCGTTGAATCGGTATATTGAAACAATCGATGTATCGAACGATATATCGAATTGATGTGGCAGATGTGGCATCGATCGTATCAATAAATTTTTGTTGCTTTCTTTCCCCCCATTTCATTTGCCGTGACGTACCGCGACGCCATTCCGTGACATTTTTTTTGCCCCCCATTTCGTGTACCTCCTACTCGCTCCCTTCCTTTCTCCCTCCCTCTCTCACTGCCAACCAATTTAAAAGTAGTGTGTGTGACGTGTTCGCCTTTTAAATAACCTTTAAAAAAAATATGGCATAATAATAATAATAATAATAGTAGTAATGATGATGATAATTTTTTAACCTGGTGTGCTCCCCGGTATGCGAATTCTGCTCAACCGTAAATTAAATTGACTCAATTTTTTTTTTTCTAACGTTTGGTTCTTTACCGGTCATTCTCACCTTGAGGTCACATTTTATTTTTACCGAT